GAGGTTGGCGATGCAGCAGTTTAAGTGTTGTGTATGCATCTGCTCATGTCTCTTCGTGTCCCTTCTCTACCGTGAGCGAGTTCAGATTAGTGCACGCGGGCTTGTGTCTGATCAAATATTTGCCTTGGAAAAAAATAAATTAAAAATGTTCTCGGGTAAGGCACCTGATTACGATAAAACTATAGAGATTGTTTCTACTTTCGTCATATATATTAATTCGACGACGGAAGCTCTCCAACAGTAACTGAGCTGTGAGGAAAGACAACTAGTTTTATACTAGGCTGTTCTAGGAACAGAAAGTAAGAAAAACAAGGGAATCCTGGGAACGAGTCTGATAAAATACAAAAAATGACGGTAAAAACGAAAACCTCCATGCGAATGTAAACATGCTTGGTTTAGGGCACAATGCTGTCTGATCAAACCCACATGCGGCCTAAGATTGCTATGTGTGATTTAAGGGTTTAACGATTGATAATGAGAATATCTAAGTTCTCGCGGCTTCCCTGAAAACCAAAGCCAACTTAACACCATAATGGTCCAATTTGAACCCGTTTTTAGACCAAATTTCTTAGAGACTGCGTCTTTTTGGGCAACACACACCACTGTAGTCTGCATGGGGGATTATTTCCTGTCATCTCAGGGCTTCATTTTCAGATTGTCGGAATAGAAAGCTCGTTTCTCGTCGGGGAATGACAATAGTGCTACCAGAGATCTTGGGGGGGGGTGGGGGTCATTTTGTTTGCGACTTGCAAGCACTGTTCATACATCATAGGCTTGAGAGAGTATGGAACTGATTTTGTTTAGCTGCTTAGTTGATTATCACAGTGTCTAGAATTTATGATTCTCCTTCAGAACCAAAGGGAAAATAATTAATTACCGATAGGAATGTTGAAAGTGCTCGATTTCTTTTTAAGTTGTTTTCTTTTTGTAGGGAAGATGATCGTTCAGTTTCCATCAAATAACAAATTGAAAATTATCACAGATAATGTCCTTATCGCAAATGGAAGAGCCTATTTGGATAAGTTGTAAAAGGCAAGAGACAGTGATCGTTTTAAAGTTAAGGTAATCATTGGTTACAGAGCGATGAAAGTCATTCAAAGTTATTCTCTCTTGTGGTAAAGTATATGAACTTATGATCTTAAGCTAGCTGAGCTTTTAAACCAATCAGCATTTAACGTGAAAAAAGACGGTTCTTAGATTAGAAATAAAAAGCAGTTTCTCTGTTTCACTCTTAAGTGAATAGGAAATATTCCAGCGGAAAATTTAACTTGATACAGATAAAAAAAAACTGAACCTGAGTCGCTGACGGTTTCGTGTTCGCTTTGAAGCACCAAGCGGAGCGGTAGAGTCGTGAAAATAATAAGCGGCGATGCCGTGAGAGGTCTGGAAAGGAAAAAGCTAATTCTTCGTTTCGCAGTTTCGCTGTTTATTGCATTTCAGCGCACATTAAACCGCCAGCCCTGGTTGTTTGGAGGCTAAAATAAGACTAAGGAATAAAGGGTGTAAGTTTCTAAAGAAACTGTGGCGCTGCGTCGGTGGGTGAAGTATCGCAAGATGAGTTAATGTTACTTGGTTGCCGTTAAGAGTTACCACGCTGACGTTTCGGGCGTTAGCCAATCCTCGGAGCCCTTCGTGTTAGCTCTGACGAAGGACTAATGCTCGAAACGTCAGCTTTTTAATTCTTTACGGTCACCAATTTACATTATCAACTCAGCTGATCAAACTCAATTGCCTGAAAAAAAAAAAACAAAAAAAACAAAAAACAAAAAACAAAAACAAAAAACAAGAATAAATAACAAAACACAAACAAAAAACAAACAAACAAACAAAAATACTCCTGTAGCTTGCAAACCACACAAGGACACCTAAAGGTTCTTTCTATTTCCATATACTGAATTACATTGATAATGCTATGAAAGATCAAATGAAAATTACGAATTTCTATGTGAAGCCATTATGAAGGATTTCTTTGAAACGATCGGTACCATAGCGGGGCTCAATAAAGACTCTGGTATTTCTTTATGGGTATCTTGTGTCATTGTTGAAAGCTGAAAGGAAGTTGTATAACTTGTGGTTTGGGTTGTTTACTTTGTTTAGAAACAGTTTCTCGCGTAAAGTTTACGACGGCTAGCAAGAGATGTCAATCTTCTGGTATGATAGACCAGGACCATAAATGATAGACAGGGCCTGCTTTTCAATTTTTCTCGATTTCGTCGGTAAGACACGATGGTTAAGTGTAGTGAAATGCGGGTGAACCGTATTCGACGGCTCTACGTATGCATGAAGAGTAGAACCTCACCATATCGGCGTTTTTTGCGCGTTTTAGTTGTTTTGGAAATACACACATTATGATTCTCTTTTTAATGACATAATTCACGTTGCAGTTCTACTTAACGGTCATTACTGATGATTATGCTAAGGACGTTAGCTTGCCTGACGAGTTCGAGTTCTTTACCATTAATCATTAGGGAGGTGCAGTGCGATTCAGACCTGGAGAAAGATATACACATTTCAAATATTGTTGTAGAATCTCAACCGCGTTTGACGAAGTTACGCTGTGATATGTGGAAGTGCGAATAATGTATAGGCTTAAAAGGACTGGGTACAAGTGATTGGCAGCTAAGTTAATTCGGGGGTAAACCTGAAATTTGCTCCAAAACTCAGTTTTTTGTTTTACTTAGAATTTGTAGCTTTAGGTACTTAATTTTACTGTGGAAAAATAATTTTCCATTTACTTTCATTATTTTCACCTTTTTAAGCGATTTTAAAATTCCCGCTCTGGCTAATGCCTTGGTTACCATGGTAACGAGAATAGCATTTTTCAAAATTTATATCAGTTGTTTATGCCTTGGTGTTCTGGCAACCAGGCCAAGCGGGCAGGAGCTAACGAGATACACTTTATTTAGTCTTATTTGATCAGTTTTTCTGGGACAAAACGATTATGGGTTAGAATTAGAGGCAGTTTTAGTCCGGGTTTCAGTCGAATGTGATATTCAACATACATAGCGTAGTCAATCAAAGGAAAAGTTATCGAAAATGGCTGGAGTAATAGATCTGTCTACTGAAAGAAAAGAAAGAGATTTTTCTGGAAGACGAAAATAGGAAGATGAGTTTGAAGAACGAAATCGCCCACTCAACTCCCAGCACTTCCCTGGATGAAAATCACCTTTGCAATAATTGGAAAAATTTTGCAACTCGGATTCTAAAGAAAACTGTTGGTTCCTCCAGAGAGAAAATGAAATATGCCGATGAGCTTCTTTCAGACAGCTCACTCTGATACCAAGGAAAGCGAGGGATATAAATTAACAGACGTGAAAACTTTATCCACGGAGGTCTCAAACGCGCACGTGTGTGAGGTAGGTGAGAAATTTTTTGAAGTCTATGTCGTTCTCTGTCCTCGATTATGACTTATTTCCCATACCATATAGACCCTTGGTTCCAGTTTTTCCGA